ATAATAATAATAATAATAATAATAATAATAGTAATAATAATAATAATAATTATAATAATGATGATGATAATAATAATAATAATAATAATAATAATAATAGCGATTCGGTTGGTTGAAATCATCAAATTTCATTATTTCTTCATCATCTGTCACAGTCTTCCGCCGAAACGGAACCTTACTGTTCCCAATTAACAGTATTACTCTTTCGCTTATTTCTTTCATTTCTATTTTATATTAACAACCTTTAGTCTTTTTCATAAGAACACAGCACGATTTACTCAATGGAGAAAAATTCAGTGGTATATTTATGTATACGTAATATGAAATCCATCAGTAACCCGGTTTGTAACAAAACAAGTATTGTGCTATGTTTTTTCGTCGTTAGCAGCCAACTTCATGAGCTAAACAACACATATGCTAAGACACATTTACGAAAGAAGACAGTAAAATAAAATAAGTCGAAATTTGGACAAATTGAGTCATTCAAAATTAGTTTTCACTCTGATCAAAGCAGCGATGTCATCTGACAATAGCATACGAAAATGACAATTGTTGTGGTATAGCGCCTAATTGTAAAATGAATTGTGTATATACACAGTGGGCCAGTTTAATCTATCCATCTAAATATTTCGCCAGAGGTGCCACCTATTAAAAAATGACCTTAACAAAAGAATGATATCTGTGTTTCTTACAGTCGGAAACAATCACTTTCCCATGTTATTAAACGCCATTTTGTGTTCACTATTTTGAATTTTCATAGCATAACTTTATGTGCTCATAATGGGTGACTTTATTAACATGAATTACATGAATTTTATTGATTTAAATTATTAAAAAACGAGGTGCAACGATGATATCATGTGTTAATAAGAATTGTCGATTTCACGCCAAAAAGTTTTTCTTTTCAGTATTACAAAAAAGGTTTTTTCAAATTTCACGCTTTCGGTATGGTTATCTGTAGATTTTGGCATGCTAAAAATAATCCCGTTGTCCGATTTGCCCTGTCATTCCATAGTTTTGAGATATTCAACGCGCCAAAGGACAAAAAACACGCTTTTTGACACTTTTAGGTTAAAATTGCTCAAAATCCTGACGTGATAGGGCAATTTGGCCAACGGATTTGGATTCAGCGCAAAAAAATACTTAGGATATGACATTTGGACTGCAAAGAAAAAAAACCTTGCCGGCCTGTGTTATAGTTGTGTAGCCAAATAAACAAGGATGAAATGTTGATTACAATTTTCCCCACTATTAATAATACATTTTCATACAAAAAATTTTAATCCAAGAAAATCACCCAACTGATAAACTCACAGAGAATAGTCGTTACGCAACGAATACATTAAAGTTATACACTATTATCAAAAAACTTTTTGTACAATCATAAAAAAAAGGAATCAAATGTTGTGACATCCCATGTCATATGGTTCCCAATGTCATATGGTTACCCATGTCATATGGTTACCCATGACTATAAAAGTTAGAAAGTGAGTTCTGCTGCGTCATTTAAACGGATGTAAGACTTAGTTTGGTGATTAAGCTACGTGTTAAAAGCGTGCATTTCAAGCAAATGTAAGACTTAGTTCGGTAACTAAGCTGTGTGAGAAAAGCTCGAGCAAATCAGACCAGCGTAGAATCGCCTAAAAAGTGAATCAAGGAGGAACAAGAACTAAACGGCCATCGACTTGAGTTCCAACGTTAAAAGCAGCAGCCTAATTATTGTCATCGCCAAGAGTACTCTCGTGTAGGATTAGGATCATCGTTACGGTCAACTTTGTAAGTTCTTGCGATTGCGTGCGCGCAAGCAACGGCTAAACAACGAGTATAGAAGTAAGTTAAGTTAAGAAAAACTGTAAATTGTATAAACATTGTTAATGCGAATCTGAAACTTTATTATTTATACTATTTGTAAGATTAACTATTTCCGGCTTTTCTAAATTTAATAAATCATCAGATAAGACATAACTTAGTTGTTGATTAAATAACTTTCTTAATCCAAAAATATTCCAATATCTCAATTATTTGAAATATTTTAAGATTCAATATTCTAATTGATTGACACATAATTATTACCTTGATGAATAAATTTTAAAACTGCTGAAAATAACAAAAGATGTCGCAAATATTTCTTTTGTGTATGTGGAAGTTTTATTCTCTTATTATTTCTCGGAAAGGAATACAGAAAAATGACACTGCTCTTAATAAGAGCTTGTGTTGCGATATCCGATTTTATCCATTTAATGTTAAAAAAAGTTATGAAAAATTTATCTCGTTTCTAAAAGTCCAACAAACTGTTCAACTGATTTTTATACAATCATCCACTAGGTTGTAAGAGGTGTAATCCTGTTTGAAAGTTCACCACTTTGTTAAAACAGTGTAAAAGAACCAAGTACTATTAAATTACTTTAAAATGATTTTTAACTTTATAAATTACACAGGCCTGCAAGGAACGGGTTATTTTTTTTTCTTTTCAATTTAATAGTCGTATCCTAAGTATTTTTTCGTACTGAATCCGAATTCATTGGCCAAATTGCCCTATCACGTCAGGATTTTGAGCAATCCTAACCTAAAAGTGCCAAAAAGCGTGTTTTTTGCCCTTTTGCGCGTTGAATATCTCAAAACTATAAAATGATAGGGCAAATCGGACAACGGGATCGTTTTCAGCGTGCCAAAATCTACCGAAAACCATATCGAAAGCGTGAAATTTGAAAGAACTTTTTTTGTAATACTGAAAAGAAAAAATTCTTGGCACGAAATTGATGATTTTTATTAACACATGATATCCTCGTTGCAGCTCGTTTTTTAATAATTTAAATCAATAAAATTCATGTGATTAATGTTGATAAAGTCACCCATTATGAGCACATAAAGTTATGCTATGAAAATTCAAAATGGTGGACACAAAATGGCGATTCTTTTGAAATTTGTTTCTTGTCACTTGAAATGTATTTCATCTTTCTAATCGATTCGCAATAATAATAATTATAATGATAATAACAATAATAATGATGATTATGATGACAGTAACGATAATGATAATAGTTATTATAATGATAATTATAATAACTAT